GGAGAAAGCGTAAACTTCGCCTTTTTTACAAAATACAGAATAATATGGCACCATCGTACCTTATTGATCTTGTTCCTGGGGACGTAGCATCTAAATGTAGCTATAATCTTCGCAACTCTGATGATGTCTCACTTCCTTTCTCGCGATTAAAATTTTCGTATGATTCTTATTTTTCATCCACAATTAGAAAAAGTCATTGAATTCTTTTATATCGAATATTGTTATAAAACATAAAACTGCTCCTCAACACTTTGATTCCGGACCGAGAATCACTAACATCATCCTTACAAAACTACGTTACATGTGTAGTCAGTTGAATTATGATCTATTCCGTGCTGGTTTAAGAGATAACCCAAGTTGTTCTTGTGGAAATGTTTGTGAAAATTCTTATCATTACCTATTTCACTGTCAATTATATACAGTGCAGAGAACTACCATGATGACTAATTTACGCAGTATTACAAATGTGGATATAACCTATGAGTTACTATTACATGGCAATGCAGATCTGACCGTTCACATTAATCAAAACATATTTAAAATTGTTCAAACATATATTTGTCATTCAAAACGATTTTCTTAATTGTTGCAATTGTTCCTCTTTTTCCCATATTTCTGTTCTGTTCTTCTCTGTCCATCTTGTAGAATGAATGTAAATAATACTATGTAAATACTACGGAGAGGGTGTTCTAAGTTGTATAACTTGTACCAAATCCTTTTCTCATGAATAAAATATGTTTAAAACAAATAATATTATTTACTTAAAATTTTCAGTGGTTTATGTTTGTTTGAATAGATAAACAAAACATGACTAATAATGCATATGTACATTGAACAAATTATTATTTGAATTAAGTTTCGGATAAGGTGAGTGCATGAATTGTTTCTTCGCAGTTCATTGTTTATCCAGGGACGGTGGGGTAGCCTAGTGGTTAAAGCGTTCGCTCGTCACGCTGAAGACCCGGGTTCGATTCCCCATGTGGGTACAATGTGTGAAGCTAATTTCTGGTGTTCCCCGCAGTGATATAGCTGGAATATTGCTAAAAGTGGCGTAAAACCATACTCTCTCCAGTCCATATACTCATGATTCGGCATCATGATATTTACGAAAGAGTTAGTCAGTGTCCATTTTACATTTGTCCTTCGTTTACACCTACAGACCCGTGCCAGTTATATTCGGACACTTGACGTCATTTCCATAGACTAACATGTTATTTCAGTGTAGCATAAATAATTTTCATGAGGTGAGTTTAGGATAGATCTTTGTAAAATTTGACAGGCAAATTTGAAATCATCTCTGAACTGCGCACATAATTTCAGTTCAATTTTCCAACCACTATTTAACAAATGACATCACATTTATCAACTTACGTATAGTTCAACAATGCACAACCCCATAGGCCGCCATGTTAAAGGAGTGCACGGCACTGTACATATGTTGATTAAGTTGTTGCAATTCGATAAATAAGCAACGGAAAATTTAATAGAAATTATGTGATTGTAGGTAAGATGATTTCTCACAAATGTGCAAAATTTGACTTGGATCATACGAAAATTAAATTCATGAAAATTATTTATGCTACACTAAATTAACAAACAAATCTATGGAAGTTACGTCAAGTGTCAGACTATAACTGGCACGGGTCTGTATCATTTGACTGACTGGAATATTTGTCAGTACCGCGAAGGTGAGCGCGGTTCACAAAAGTAATAGCTATAGGATTCACCTCACAGTAGACCCCTGGAAATCCGGATTAGAATTGGTCTTTAGCAACCCATGACAAACCAACCAACCAAATATCATACTTTAACGCTGCACGCTGGACACATTGCTCTACTGATCTTAGTAATCCTCTCTTCATGGGCCATCGCTGTGCACTACCATGCTCTATCATAGTGACTACTTTGGTGACGTCACCATACTGTTCAATACGCGATACTAACAAAGCTATATTCTCTGTCTTCGATTGATTATAGAAAATAGTATGATTAGTCTTATTATTTGGTGTCATCCTATTGCCCTTCTTATAGTTAGGATTCATCATTATCAACCACTCTGGGCTTCCGGATTTTTAATGTTGAGATAAAAAACAATAAACAATCTCTGGGGGGAATAATTTCCCTGTGCCATCATGCTTTCTAGACGGGACGAAAACGGTTTAGAAAATCGCCATTAGCAGAGTGGAAATTGTAACATGATCGCCTTCACAAATGGACCTGTCGCATAAGTTACTTTGCGTTGACGTAGGGTTCGGGAAACAGAGGTATGATGTTTGTAGTAGTATAGCTGTGTTATATCACGACTATCTAACACGGGGGAATGCGATGTGAATCAATACTTACTCCCTTAATCAGTCAACCGTTGACATAATAAAAGTGCTATGGTACTTATGTTTGTTGGTTTGTTTACCGCCTACTACGATATTCCAGCTAGCTCTGGCAATTCTGAGATCAATATTTTGAGCAGTGATCCACGTCGATGACATGATGGTACTACGACTAGGGCTTAGATAGCTCAAGGAACATGACCACCCGTTCCATTTGATCGCCTTTAACGACCAGGACAATGAGTGAGTGAGTATGGTTTTACGCCGCTTTTAGTGCTATTCCAGCAACATCACGGCGGGGGACACCAGACATGGACTTCACACGTTGTACCCCATGTGGGGAATCGAATCTGGGTCTTCGTCGTGACGAGCGAACGGTTTAACCACTAGGCTACCCCACCGCCCATCGTCACAATGTAATGTTGGCTGAAATGCCATTACAACATGAATGCTATAAAACTTTATGCACAGTCACTTGCTCCTATTGTGTTTCCGACGTTGATGTCACGTGATATATTTGAGTTTAAGCACTGAAGTCTTGGTTATGTACAGGCGTGTCAATTCAAAGTTGAGAAGGTCGTAGCCGACCACCAGGCGGGGGTGGGGGTAGGGGGTGTTGGAGGGAGTAATCCATCTGTAATGACTCTTGAAATCGAATCCACCCACCATCAGCGAATCCAGACACAAGTGAGGGACGTAATTGTGTTGATGGAACGTTCCGTCATCTGCACCCCAGCAAATGAATGCCTGTTGACAGGTCTAATGTTAATAAATAATCAGTATGAGAATAATAATCCTTTCCACACACTATTCATAAGCACCACACCATTAAATCAATGTACTCTCGAATGGTATTCTCAACTTCCCGGGGAATATACAACCCAAACAGCCCATGACTTCCAAGGTTAACATTGAACGTTACTCCCTCATAATGTGTGTTTAGAAAATAAAAAGTTGCATGTGTCTTCCTAAATATTTTTTAGCTGGAGCATCATTGATTCGTAGCCACTCTATCAAAGGTAATTAAGCTTGCACTTTGTTGATCCTTTGTTGGCAAGGATTTTCGACGTACATTATTTGAAAAGCATCTACAGCGCTGTTATGATTGATTTACTGGTAGCAAGGTATTGACAAGATTACCGACACAAACTGAAAGGAAAATAAACGTGCAGGTGTAGCATTTAAAAAAGATATTGGCATTCTTGGGGATACACGAATTCCCCAATGTGAACCTGCTTTTTCCCCGGCAGTTAAAATCCTCGACCTTTCTGTATCAGATATGTGACTTAGTACCTGCAACCGTCTGGAAGACACATACGTTCTGTCTGCATTAATGTTTCCGTTCAAACATGCATATATAAGAGCGTGATTTTTAACGTGAATGGGTGGTAATTATCACTTTCCCAGGTGTATATTTCATATGCTGAAAATAAAACTATCAAGGATCATAGATATTCTGGAGGAATTTCTGTGGTGAAAGTATAGCCCACAATTATAGAAGAAATATCAAAAAATTATTTATGATCACTGACGTATGTTCCCAAGTTTCAGACCCGTGATGATTTGGATCAGATTGAGTACCCTTTTACTGCTATTCCAGCAACATCATGGAGGGGAACACCAGAAATGGGCTTCACATATTGTACCCATGTGGGGACTCGAACCCGGGTCTTCGGTGTGATGAGCGAACGCTTTAACCACTAGGCTACCCCACCACTGATAATCAGTTTGTCATAAGAGGCGACTAACGGATCGGGTGGTCAGGCTCGCTGACTTGGTTGACACATGTCATCGTGTCCCAGTTGCGATGCTCATGATGTCAGTCACTGGGTTGTTTTGTCCCCTCTAGATTATTTACAGACCGAAGTCATATAGCTAGAACATTCTTGATTGCGGCGTAAAACAACAATAAACAAAGTTTCCTTGTGATGATGTGTATCCCATTTGTGAGTGAGTGAGTGAGTATGGTTTTACGCCGCTTTGAGTAATATTCCAGCAATATCACGGCTGGGGACACCAGAAATGGGCTTCACACATTGTACCCATTCGTGGAATTGAACCCGGGTCTTCAGCGTGACGAGCCAACGCTTTAACCAGTAGGCTACCCCACCGCCCCGTATCCCATTTAATCAAAAAGCGTCACAGCTCTGTCAGAGTTTGCGAAAACGCTCACAGTAACCTGACTGTGGCGACCAATTGTATCGGAGTTACATCGTTAGTTTGAATAGCTTTCGTTCGCATTCAAGCATCGAGGATAATCATGAGAAGGCACAGGTTGAAATATCCCCTATCCAATTATTTACGTCATACCTCCAAGCTGTACATGTCCTACGTTAAAGCATATCTATCTTTTAACAACATGGCTAAAAAAGAAATATTTTTCGGTGCTCTTTCACTTACAGGTCCTTACATTCAAGTCACTCATGTGTAATGACAGAAGTCACGAATCCCATTGAAGATGACGAGGTGTTAGCATGAAGATTGCATAAGTTACTTAACATTTTTTGTATATTATTGTATGGCTCGGGATCCCGCGACATTGTTGAGCGATGACGTCTTACTGTTATGCTTCAATGCGATTTTCATTGTAACCTGTTTTGAGGTCGTGGGAGCTGTACATGTAATTGCATGCCATGATATACACATATAACATCGCTGTCATCAATACGCTCCCATGTGATGAGCCTCAGGTGTGTTGATTGGAGGGCTGTTCTGTTATTATGCTGTACCATGGCGACGGTTAAGAGATGCTTTTCTGTTCAGGCTGTTCACGGCAGACAGCGTGTATTATAGTAGAGAGACAGTTGCGGGCAACGCGATAATTAATTCCAGTTAGTTTTGTTCTGTTCTTACAACACCTGTCACAGTAGTCGACATTGACGATTCTCACCTTTTCAGGTGAAATGAACTTACGGATGAAGAACTTTTGTTTCTGTCTGGTTCTACTTGCAGGTAAGATTATTTGGATATTCTCTATAGCAGCGCCATTTGTAGATCGCAAATGGATTTACCTGTTCGTGAAGGTGTGCTGAGATTTGACTTTTTCTGTGCCAGAGTTATGTGTCACCTTGTCAGATTTCAAGAAATGGAAATATGCCATCAAGGTGTTTGTACTTTCAAGGATAAGGTGCTGGTGACATACATGTATCTCTACACATGGACATGTATGTGGAACATCCCTGGCTGTGGAATACGGGATATGAATTTTTATATTTCATGGATGTTTCTTGAAAATCAACATGGATTCCATATTGACCTCTATGCTTAAGATAAGTCTACAACTTCTGAACGTTTTGATTACAGGTGAACGGTATGGCACTAAATTGTTCCTACCGTTTATAACGATGGTAATAATATGCGAAAAGGATATGTTTGCGAAACATATTAATTTCCGTTAACATAAATGTACGTAGATACATGCTGAATATTTATCACATAATTTGCTCAAACGTATAAACTTCATCTTTATGAAATGTAGAATTAAAAAATTAAATGGTTATCGGTTCAGTTTATGTGATTGCATGTTTTAGGTCGAATGCGTCATGTCAATGTTAAGTGTAAAGATTGGTTCACGGGATGTGATCTCTCATGGCTTGAACTTAATTGTCTTTAAGAAAGTCGAGTGAAAGATGTCTGTGTTTTCTTGAGGCCAGTGTGTCGTTGTACAAAGCCACCAGCGCTACGACTGTGTCTTGAGTCTATGTTAATGTATGGGAGTTACGATCATATGTTTACGATCGTCATAGCGCAATGATCGTTTTGTGGAACTAGGACAGACAACAGAAGGGCGAGACTAGGAGATCTAACTCCTTAACTTTAGCATATGTTTACGATCGTCATAGCGCAATGATCGTTTTGTGGAACTAGGACAGACAACAGAAGGGCGAGACTAGGAGATCTAACTCCTTAACTTTAGCATATGATTACGATCGTCATAGCGCAATGATCGTTTTGTGGAACTAGGACAGACAACAGAAGGGCGAGACTAGGAGATCTAACTCCTTAACTTTAGCATATGATTACGATCGTCATAGCGCAATGATCGTTTTGTGGAACTAGGACAGACAACAGAAGGGCGAGACTAAGAGATCTGACTCTTTAACATTAGCATAAGTTTACGATCGTCATAGCGCAATGATCGTTTTGTGGAACGGGGAAGGCAACAGAAGGGCGAGACTAGGAGATCTAACTCTTTAACTTTAGCATATGATTACGATCGTCATAGCGCAATGATCGTTTTGTGGAACTAGGACAGACAACAGAAGGGCGAGACTAGGAGATCTAACTCTTTAACTTTAGCATATGATTACGATCGTCATAGCGCAATGATCGTTTTGTGGAACAGTAACGGACAACAGAAGGGCGAGACTAGGAGATCTAACTCTTTAACTTTAGCATATGTTTACGATCGTCATAGCGCAATGATCGTTTTGTGGAACAGTAACGGACAACAGAAGGGCGAGACTAGGAGATCTAACTCCTTAACTTTAGCATATGATTACGATCGTCATAGCGCAATGATCGTTTTGTGGAACTAGGACAAGACAACAGAAGGGCGAGACTAGGAGATGCAAGTCCTTAACTTTAGCATATGTTTATGATAGTCAAAGCGCAATAATCGCTTTGTAGAACGGGGGCGGGCTATAGAAGGGCCGGACACCAGAAAAAGGCTCCATGCATTGTACTCATGTGGGGAATCAAACCGAACCCAAACCTTCAGCGTCGTCACGATATGGCTGAAATATTGCCGATGTGACGTTAAATCATAACTCACTCACTCACTCACTCACTCAAAGCTTCAGTGTGACCAACCTCTATTCCACACCTCTTTCCTTTCTAATCTGTGAATATTGCTGTGGGCGGCGTAAAACTAAACTCACTCACTCACAATTCTGTCAATCTGACATAGTCGCTCTGTATTTTAAGGCATGTCTTTGTTAATAACTTTAGGAGTCTATTGAAGCTATAAGAACATAAAAGATCACCGCTTTTTATAGGCTTGATTAACCTGCCGAAACAGATTCATCTAGGGTTAAATGAGAACAGGACATCTTTTGCAAAATAATTATTTTGGACAGAATATCATTGCACTATACTGAACGAACTAGGATAACGCTATTTAAAACAAATGCATACTGTTTATCGTAATATCAATAAGTTTGCGTGAGTAGTGAGTCTAGAAATAATGAATTAAGATAAGGGTCCATTTTGGGTCACGCGAAATAAATGTGTCGAGTTGATCGTAATGTAGACTTTCAACTTGTACTGGTCTTTAAAGAACAAATTAGAAAAACGCCCCTTTCGGGCACAGAAAATGCTGAATGTTACGAATGGCGGAAAACACATACTTATCTGTAACCCGTATTGGCATTAGGACTGACAAGAAGCTGGTTCTCTTTTCCACAATGAACAAAGAAGGTGTTTTACAATAGGTCTAAACTGCTTTAACTACAGATACCAGCTTGGGTCAGTACTTGTTCATACTAAAGTAGCAGACACAACCTCTGAAGTCAGGTATTCCGACACATTTTAGCACTACACATAAATTTGGTGATTCTTTTATAAACCCTGGAGAAAATGAACTATACTTCCCGTTGACTTTATCATATATCAGCACTTCAAGAATATTTGTTTCTGGTTTTACTACAAAAGAAAAACATCGTTTGATTTGAGACGTTAAAAATGTTTTCGCAAAGTACACAGTTGCCGACTCTTATCATTTCAAATACGGTTGGGTTATGTGGTTGCAATTGAACGAATTGTTCTTCGCAAAATAACCAGCCACAGATTACTTTTAAAAACAGTTGCAGGAATGAATATGTTGAATAAACTTGATCACGTTTGACAACGGCTATGTCATCTCTGAGTACATTAATTTATCGCTTCACTTTATTATGCCTTTTTATGTCCAAAACATACAGGCAAGATAAAATGTCTTATTAGTCTTTTATATGAACATATTTGATAACATTCATATATATTTCGTTAAAAATAAGCAGAGGTTATATTAGTATGCACATTTGAAAAACGCTTTTGCCTTGTAGGTGCACCGACGTAAGTAGTGATGTGCAAAACATGTACATCCGCAGAGCAATTTCACGCGATGTGTGCACAAGGGTTGTTCGTTATTATCTCGGGTTGTGGGAACCCTAAATAAATTCGTTAGATCAAGTGCCATAGAACCACTCTCGAAATGTGTTCATTTGCACATAAACGATACATGAATATGATGTCATTTGTTACAAAACCAATGACCCCATTGTTGAAATCAACATCATTATAATTTTTAAAGGTTATTAATTATTATCATTATAAGTAGCATCTATATACCAATACATTTGGGAGGTTCCGGATTGCCAAAATGTTCTCCAGTTGCAACTGTCCGACTGAGAAGTCATTCTGTGACTATTTGAAGCACAACGAAACACCGTCGTCAAGCAGTTGAAACCATGAGAATCACAATTGGCTGCAGCCAGGATTTAAGGTGTCTGAGAGCACCATCGCTGTCGTTGTTTCTGTACCTACCAAGGATGTACTGATTTAACAATGGATACCCTGGACACATACGGTTAAGTTATTTGCGGGAAAGGTTACATCCACCAGTATCTAGGATCGCAGTGGGTATCTGAGTGGAACCACCTTAATGAGATCGGCACCCCATCAGACGCATCAACACCGTCATTTGCGACGACAGATGTGTCAAGCGGGCTCAGTAATGCCTAACCAATCATTGACAATTGTTGAGGTCAGAGTGAAGGCAAGAACTTGGGTGTTGACAGATTCTGGCGGCAATCTCTGCTGTCACAGGAACAGCAAACCTGATGCAAGAGAAAGGCAGCTTTATCACCCAATGAAATTGCTGTGTGAAATAGTACAGCCCTACCGCAATTTATATTAATGACTTTTTTTATCGTGTTAATGTTCTGTTTTCAAACGCCATGTTCGACCATGTGTAACAGATGCTTTCCTTCTTAAAACCTATGTGCAGGTCCTCGGTTTGTGATCTGCATCGCGAGGTTTGATCCCCAAAGAACACCCGTAAAACACGTTGAGTCGACAGCGAGATATTAAACCACGTACACTGGCTTTACGGTGGTCTAAAGTTCCTCATGTGATCAATACTCGCTTTTCATTCAAAAGCAGGCGGTACCTCACAGTACGTGACACCCATGGTGGACTAACGAGGTATTGAGTTCCTATGACCTTGACCTTGACCTTGTCATTTTCCTTGAAATATAACGTTAGCGTGGATCACTTATTACTGAAGTCGATAGTACAATTCCGACTGTATCGTGAGCAAGTGTTTATGAGAAGAGAATGAACCGTGTAGGATGTCTGTCAGAGTGGGTTACGTCAGTACGTGACGATGTCATTGGTAGGATGCACAAACTGAAAAAGAAGAAACAGACTTGGAATGAACACGGTGTACGTCGTGTTATTCACAGTAAAGAAGTTGACATCCATAAATCTTGCTTTTCTTATGGAATGGACCAATTCCGTCCCAACCAGCTGTCATCCAAAGTCTGGCTGCCCTGCACGAAAAGTTATGTTCCCACTGACAAGGATTCAAATAACATAACCATTACATAACATAGCATCATTACATAAATGGTTTATTCAAAGAGCTCGATATATTTGACACATCAAATAGGGCAAGGCAAATAGTCATATAAGGCAAGTATGTTAACTGAAGACCCGGGTTCGATTGCCCTCATGGGCACAAAGTGTGAAGCCCATTTCTGGTGTCCCCCGCCGTGATATTGCTGGAATATTGCTAAAAGCGGCGTAGAACTTAACTCACTCACTTTTCTACTGGATTCCAAAGGTATGTAAAACTCCGGACAAAGAAAGATATATTGCTGGGTCCAACAAATGTTCCACCAAATCCCTGTTTCAAAGATTAGGCATAATCCTAATCCTATCTTGGAAGGGCTTTCTCATTATTCTAAGAT